CAGTGATAAGATTGCTCCACTAGGTCGTGTATCTACTGAAGTACCATGGCGAAGTCAAGACCGTCCTGGTTTCAACTTTCACTACGCGGCTAAACGTGGTCTAGCCTCTATAGCTCGTCTAGATTCTAAACAGCAATCTATGTTTGAGGATGCCCTTTCACAACTTGTCGATAGGGGTTTCTGTTCGATTGTCTGTGATCTACGGTCAACTGGTTTGAAGAAGCCAACTAGAGCTATGTGTCAAGCAGCTTGGTCTACGTTGGTCAAGGGTACTGCCAATGAGGGTTCTCCTGTTCCTCTGGCGGAACATTACACTCCTTCACATCTAGTGTATCGCCATCTACATCCTACTACACCGTGTAGGGTGGTGTTCGACTTTAGAGACCTAAACCGCTTCTCTAATCGTGGTGGCTATCCTCAGAACTCTCTAGCCGGTTGCCTCCTTGCTATTCGATCCTATGAGTATTTCATAGCTGGAGATCTATCTAAGGCATTCTGTAGAATGTCCTCTAGTATTAAGGATGTTCCATATGTTGGCTACACTTGTATCGGACCATACATTGTTCTATGGTCCCGTGTAGCCTTTGGCTCTACAGCAGCGCCTAATCAACTTGACGCTTCTATGGAAGATGTGATTAATGAGATCAAGGCATTGTCCAAGCTGGCTTCTACAGTTGAAGCTCCGGTTACTCGTCTATGTGATATTGAGCCTCATTTGGTTGAGCGTTGTCTACTGAGATCTAGCACTGAGGCCTTCTCCTATCTACAGGGTTGTCCACCGGTCCCCAAGGAGATCACACTGATCAAGTTTGTCGATGATGTCTATACCGGTGGATCTAACAAGTCTAGAGTTACATCAAGCTATGACTTCATTACCTATATCTCTAATGGTCACGACTTCGTCATTGAACCTAAGAAACGTTTTAACAGTTGGGAGCCTGTGATGGTCAACGATGTCGAAGAACGACGCCATCTACTTGGTTATGACTATTCTGCTGTCGAGGATTCCTTCTACCCTACTTTCAGTGGTGGTCAACTTCAAGGGAATCCTATGACCAAGCGACAGTCTTGTGCGGTACTGGCAAGCTTCTACGATCCATTAGGTCTAATAGTGGAGCACGATATGTCTGCGAGATCTATCTGGCGTAGTATCAACAAGTCCACTACTGAGTGGGATTCAACTATACCTTCTAGTCTCAAGGATGAAGTCTGTACGTGGGCACACTATCAATGAGATTGGTCAAGTCTATGCCAACACCACGCTATATCTCCTTCGACTCCCCTCTAGTATTAAGCACTGACGCTTCCAA